CCAAGAAACACACCCTGACCCTGAAACCAGTGACAAAGAAACATACTTTGTCCCTGGAACCAAAACCAGTGGAAGAAATACGCCCTGGCCCTGAAACTAAAGCCAAAAGGCTAAAAAGGGCCAGTGAAAGAAACTCGGTTGGGCCCTGAAACCAGAGCCAACTCTGCCCCTGACCAACGAAACAAACCAATCCCTGAGCAGGAAAACTAACCAATCCCTGAGCAGGAAAACTAACCAATCCCTGAGCAGAAAATCTTTTCCCTGGAGAAACTCCACCCCTGAGAAGCCCTATATAAGCCGGGTGGCGGTGGTGGCCCACGCCTTTAATCCCAGCACTCAGTAGGCAGAGACAGGTGGATCTTTGTGAGTTCGAGGCCAGCCTGGGCTACAGAGTGAGTTCCAGGAAAGGCTCAAAGCTATGCAGAGAAACTCTGTCTCGAAAAACCAAAATATAAAAAATAAATAAATAAATAAATAAAATAAAATAAGAAACCCTACATAAGCCGTTCTGCCTGTTGCGCTGTGGGCTGTCCTTTCCCACCCTGGCAGATGCAGCCAGTCTCCTAGATCTTTCCTTCCCAAATCAGTCTCTTTCTTAAAAGTTTTGGATGAAGATCTTCCTTCACCTGTGTGGAACAGAAGAACCTTTGCTGAGATGTTCCCTTAGGAGACTGAGCAGAAAAAGTAACAATTTGCCGCTGCAGCTGGAGGAGATTGCGACATTTCTTCAGGGGGTTCCCCTTTAGCAGAGTGAAGCAGAAAAAGTAACATCGTGGGTCGGAGCAGAAGAACCAGATACCTCTGCTCCGACAGTCCTTTAGGGGAACAAAGCAGAGCTCAGCTGGAATGGCTCTGTCTGAGGAGCAAGATTGCTATATCCTGCAGGGGGAAAAAATCCCCCACCACACCCCAGCTTCAGGTATAGCCTGACTTCCCGACAAGTCAGGATACCTTTCTCCTCACTACTGTAGGTATCCTGCATACCTCCCTTCACAGCTGTAGGTATAGCCTGACTTCACGACATATCAGGATACCTTTCCCTCCGGAGCTGTAACACTCGCAGAGGAAGGGGGAGCCAAAAGAGGCAAGCACTGGGAAGCCTTGTTCAAAGAACAGGTAAATTGGAAGGAGAATTTAAAGCTTGAGTGTAAAATAATTATATATATATATATATATAGTTTTGGTTTTTGAAACGGGGTCATCCTGTATAGCCTAAGCTGGCCTCAAACTCATGGTTTCCTGCCTCAGCCTCCCTAGTGTTGTTGGCATTACAGGAATGTGCCACCATACCTAGTTCCAGGTTTATGTTTGTGGGTGTGTTCATGGTGTGTGTGTGTGTGTGTGTGTGTGTGTGTGTGTGTGTGTGTGTGTGTATTACTCGTGCCATGGAACATGGGTGGAAGTCAGAAGACAACCAGCAGGTAGGTTCTGTCCTTCCACCATGTAGATTCTGGGGATCGAACTTGGGTCTTCAGAGTTGTCAACAAATGCCTTTACCCACTAAGCTATCAGAGCAGCCCGGGGGACACCATTGTACCGATATAAGTGGGAAAGGGTAATAGAGGGGACTAAGAAAATAATAGTGGCGAATAAGATAAATAGATGAGTCCAAAACAAAGCAGAGAGAGACTCCGGGGTAAAATGGATTATGTCTTTGTGATTCTTAGCTGTGTAGCAAAATAAGATCATCTACCAAGTGACGACAACTCAGTACACAAAAGCCAAATTGAAACGCACTCCTTCTGGAAGATCAAACGGGGCTCTGCATGTATTTTGCCTGATGAATGACAGGAGTCCATTGAATCACTCCTGGTGAATGCCTTGTGTCTGATGTAACATATGGCCACTGTGGCCTGCAAGAAGCCGTCCTTCTCGGCAAGTCAATTTAATTGCCCGTTAGGGATTACTGTGGGAATACAGTGTTAAATAAAGCATGAGAAAATTGAATTTGTCACTGCTGTAATAAAATACGATTTATTTCTTTATATAATTTATCAAAACATTTAAATCATACTTTCTATATAAAATGAAATTAGAGCAAGGAAACAGTACTGAAACACTTGATCAAAGTGTCCAGATAAAAATTACAAATAAGAGTAACTCCTAAAATACCAATATTAAACAGATGGAGCCTCGCTGACGTTCAGTTTTCCAAGCCCAGGGAAGCCATGCATGCTGAATATCAATGAGGAATCCTGTCCACATTTCCCTAAGAGCAAAAAACGAAGGCTTCCCATTTTCAAAGCCCAGACTTCCCACCGAATGCACAAACAGGGGCAGGAGAGGCTTGCATCCAGGTGAAGGTGTTGGACAGAGATGAATGAATGATGCCCAGTCTGCCCCTGGCCCTTATGAGAAGAGCCCCTGCCATTACACTACATTCATAGCATTCACACCTCTCTGCTGTAAACAACTGAACTGCCATGGTGAGTCTGCCACAGAGGCTGTGGAAGGCCTGGGGAACTTCCAACTTCCTCTTATACCAGCCCCAGGGTGCTGTCCTGGCTGCATGGTAGATCACCAATGTCTGCGTTTTCCAGCCAGCAGGAAAACGTAAAGGAGAAAAAGATCACTCATCACCTTGGTCAAAGCTCTAAAACAGTTTTTTAGAGATGTAGTTACGTGTGTATTGGTGTATGTGTGCCTGCTGACCTCACACGTGTGCAGACATGCATACCACATGCATAGGGAAGCCAGGAGAGGGCACCCAGTGTCCTCTCCCACACTCTGTTATCTCTTTGAGGCAGTATCTCTCCCTAAACTTGGACTTCATATTTCCCGAGCTAGGCTGAAGGCCAACAAGCTCCCGCAATCCTCCTTTCTCCTCCTGCCACTGGTGCCTAGGACCGTAGGTGTGAATGGGACACCTGAGTGCGTTCTGGGATCTGAGCTCCAGTCTTGATGATTGGGCAGCAAATGCTCTGAACCACTGAGCAATCTCTCCATCCCTAAAAACAATTATTTTCATGGTCTGTTTGTGTTCTAAACAAATTCCAGGGTAGGATCTCTTCTTCTCCCGTCTTCCTTACCTCCATTCCTCTTCCCTTTCTTCCCTTCCCCTCTCTACCCCATTCCCCTCTTCTTCATGGTCATTGCTCTTGTCTGGTTACTTGTTTCATGTAATTTTCTATATTCTGGATTTTCCCAATTGTATCTCTAGGGTATCCCGGTTTTTGTATTTTTGAAAAAATGAAACCTCTGAAACCAGGAACCAAAATAAATCTTTCCTCGAGTGTTTCTGTCAGGTGTATGGATCACAGCAACACAAAAGTAACCATTAATAATATCGCAGCCATTGATGAGTGTTGAGTAGACTCAGTAATTAATCAAGAATTGCCAAGTTGTCATATTCTAATTTTGTTATTATTTCTAAAGAGAAACCTTCCTTCTCATTCTTGTGAGATGTAGAATGAGAATCTAAGAAGAGGCAATGAGAAATTTTTGATCATCAAGTGGGTGGTTGGCCAATAGGCACTCGGATTTCAAAGTTGTATCCTTGTATCCTCATGTACACACACACACACGTAAAACACCTATACACATTTAAAAAATTAAAATAAATATTTAAAAATTTTTATTTTACGTGCATTGGTGTTTTGCCTACATGTATGTCTGTGTGAGGGTTTCAGGTCCCCTAGAACTGAAGTTACAGTTGTGAGCCACCATATGGGTGCTGGGAATTGAACCTGGATCCTCTGGAAGAGCAGTCAGTGCTCTTAATCACTGAACAATCTCTGCAGCCCAAAATAAATATTTTTTTAATGCATCTTGATCAATGGGAATAGGAAGGGACAGGAGAGGGTAATGGGGGTGGGGACACCTGATTGAAATACCTTTGAACATGGCATAATGGAAACCATTAATCTCAGTGATTAATATATGCTAAAACACTTTTAAAACATACCACACCACATCCACACCACACACACATCACACACACATATACACACACATCACCCCCCCACACACCACATAATACACACATACACACACATCACACACATATGCACCACACACATATACACACACATCACACCCACACGCACCACATAACACACACATACACACATCACCACCCCCACCCCCCACACACATGGCATGCTGAGTCCTAGAGAGAGCCACAGGAGGTCCAATCTGACTGAATCTCTGACTCCTGAAACCTTTTTCTCTCCATCACAAGACTAGTCTTTTTGGTTAATTTTATATTTTTTTAAATCTATTTTTCCCCACAACATCTCTTGATCATCCACCAGGAAAAGCCTCCCAAACCCAATGAAATTTGTGGGGCGTTTACCCACCAACCCCACAGCTTCCCAGAGTTTTCTTGAGTGTGAGCAGCAGGAAATATTAGATAGAAGGATTTATATGGTGGAGATAAACAGATAGAAAATAAAGGATAGCCTCGAGAGGGCCTGGAACCGATTCCAACGAGCCCTGACTGTCTCTGCCTCAGGGTATTTATATAGACACCAAGGGGTGGAGCAAAAGCCCTCCCCCCAGCACAGCCAAGTGCAGACCATCTCAGACACCTGCACTCAAGCCCATGGTCCTAATCATCCTCTATGTGGACCTGCTGGGTAAAGCCACGAGGAACCCAAAAACAGGCTCCCACAGAAATTGAGTCCCCAGAAACCTCATTTGGTTGATTGCCAAATTGTCTTTATGCCTAGAGACAATGGATTTCTATGGCGTTCGCCTGGCAAGCCTCTGGATGGGACAGGATCATCTTCCTTCTGGGACTGCTAAACAGAGACAATAGAATGCCAGATACAGGCATTATATTATGAATATACCATTAATCCCGTGGACACAGACAGCTCACTGGTGGCCAGTAACTAACTGGGCTGGGCTAAAGGTCTCTGTTCTGAAATTCATTGCCCATCTGGACACCTCCCTGTAGTCTCTCGGAACCAGGACATTCACATTACTCTTGGGGGGACTGAAATCATCACGATGGAGGGACTCCTGAGAAGAAAAGCAATTAGTAATATTTCTGCTCCCCTGCAATTTATTATTTCTGGTGTTGAGGCTTAGATTCAACTACGGCAGGAGCAAAAGCCCTTAGCAGTTAGCACTTTATATTCTTTTGTTCTTCTGTTCTGCTAATAAGATACTCCCAAGTTGCCTAAGCCCAGAGAGCGTACATACATCACATTTGGAGATCGATTTTGTCTCAGTAAGTCTTTTACAATTCTCCCCAGCCTTCCCAGACCTTGAGCGACCAACACTGAGCTGTGAGAGCAATGCTAATTGCTTTCCCCCGGGGTCAAGCATCTTCCTCGCAAACCATGAATCCAGTAGCCACTGAAAACCCAGAGGAAGAATTGACAGCCAGGCTTACAAGAGGTCTAATTGAGCTTTTTAAACATTTAGCTCTAATGCAAATTTGTTTGCGATCGATTTTTTTCTCTCATCTCTTAACATGTCCTGAAGGAAATAATTGCTGTGACTATGTAGACTCAGCTTATTCATTATCACTGTGGACGTGAAGCTTCCTTCCCAGAATCTCTGAGACGTTAAAACACATCTCCCTCCCTCCCGCCCTCCTTTTAACATAAGGGGTAAGTCACTGAGGCTTTTTCAAAGAAGCCTGATGGCTCTGTGCAGAGGTTGGCATGTGCTGGAGAGAATACCGTGAAGATCAAAATTCCCGTCTCTATCCGGATGGATTTGCGTAGGTCCCTCTCAGGGGAGGAGGCAGACAGAGCAAATAGGTTGAACCTGCTATAGCACTGAGAGGAACCTCTCTAGATGTTAGGTTTAATTCCACCAAGCAAGAAAAACTGAAGACTGGGAGAACGATGGGACATGCATAGACCCTCCAGTTATCATGTCTTTTCCAGGCGACTCCAGATGTTCTGGGTGGCTCGATGATCATGAAATTTTTATTTTTTGAGAGTAGACCAGGCTGGCCTCCAACTCAATACGCAGCTGAGGGTGACCTTGAACTCCCCTGATTCCCCTGCCTCCGCTTCGTGAGTCGGCTTCATGTGGAGGGCTAAGTCAGGGCTTGCTGCATGCTAGGTAAGCCCTCTGCCGACTGAGTTCCATCTGCAGGCCCTCAGGTAGTTTTAAAAGATGTCTCAAGCCCTTTCTTCAAAATATGAAGCCAGGTGCCCTCTGCCTGGATGGGAAGCAGGCCTAGCGATTCACTTCCAACAGAATGTAGTGAAAGTGATGTCATGTGACTTCCATGCATTGGTCACAGAAGGGTGGCTTTCTACCAGATTTCTCTCTCAGGTCATTTTCTTCTGGCTGTTACAGTGGGAAGAAGAAGCCAGCTCGGAAGACAGGTGTGTCTTGGTAAAGTGGTTTAATCTTGGACTTTTTCTTGGTGGATAAACAGACTACCGATAGAAAGATTGAGAGTTTGAGGTTATGTGTCTGCCAGCTCTGAGGAGGAAAGGTTTGTCTCTGTGATTGGCTTATTCCAAGAGGACAGACAGTACTAACTTGTAACTCATCCATCACCAGATGAAAATCAAGGAGTTGGAGGACTCTCTTGGTGGGGTCTGCCTTGTTAGCAGCTTTAGCTGCAGGAGGAAGGTCTGTTTCTCCTCAAGGCACACCCCAGGAGAAGCCGACCACCATGCTGCCCCCCCCTCCACTGCCTGACACATCCTTACTAGGAGTGCACTTGTTTAAGAAACCCAGTGGAAAGCTGGGCGTGGTGGGGCACACCTTTGATCCCAGCGCTCAGGAGGCAGAGGCAGGCAGATCTGAGTTCGAGGCCAGCCTGGTTTACAGACTGAGTTCGAGAATGGCCAGGGCTACACAGAGAAACCCTGTCTGGAAAAACCAAAAACCAGGAAGAGGGAGGGAGGGAGGGAGGGAGGGAGGGAGGGAGGAAGGAAGGAAGGAAGGAAGAAAAAAGAAAATAAAAAAGAAGAGAAAAGAAAAGAGATCCAGTGGAAAGGAGCTCACTCTTTTTACCTCTCAGGAGTCAGCTATGTGAGTAAACAACTTTGGAAGTGGCTTCTTGTATCTCAAGTCAAGCCCTCAGAAGATTTCATCCATCAGGCTTAGAATCCTCCCACTGAGGCCCAGAGCAGAGACTGGCAGCAATCAGCAACTGTAAACAAGTTCACTAGGAAAAATGTATGACATAGGGAGCCTTTATTTAAAAACAACTATAAAACATACATCGTGGCAGCCAGAGAGACACAAACACAGCCTTCAGTACTAAATGAAAATGTACCATCTGCAGGAGCAAAGAGAAGTGCCAGCTCAGATAAGGCAAGGCTTTGTGAGATTTGGTTTGGTTTCATGAGACAGGGTTTCACTCTGTACCCCAGACTGACCTGGAACTGACCAGGTATCCCAGGTTGACCTGGAACTGAACAGGTAGCCCCAGGCTGACCTGGAACTGAACAGGGAGCCCAGGTTGACCTGGAACTGACCAGGCAGCCCAGGCTGACCTGGAACTGAACAGGTATCCCAGGCTGACCTGGAACTGAACAGGTAGCCCCAGGCTGACCTGGAACTGAACAGGTAGCCCAGGCTGACCTGGAACCGACCATGTGGCCCAGGCTGACCTTGAATTCATGGCAATCCTCCCACCTCAGCCCTCGCCCACAAATGCTGGGATTATATGTGTGAGCTATCCAGCCTTTAAGACATGGCTTCTTAAACTTTTCTCACTCAATATTTTTGTTCTAAGGTATTTCTATTTTCACTAAGTATAGTGTGTTGGGTGTTGTGTGTGTGTGTATTCGGGGATCTGTGGAGGCCAGAAGAATCTCAGATCCTCTGGACCTGGGGTTAAAGGCCATTAAGAACACCTCACAAGGGTAATGGGGTGTAGGGTAAAAGGGCCAGAGAATAAAACAAGCACACCCTGAAACCAGAGCCAAAGAAACACATTCTGTCCCTGACCAACTCAGCATGAAAACCACCCAATCCCTGAGCACAAAATCCAGCCAATCTCTGAGTTTGTCCAAGCTCAGGGGTTGAAATCTGAGCAGTTCCCACCCCGAAAATCTTCATCTGGAAAAACCCCACTCCTATATGAGCCTGGTACCAGTTGGGCGCTGCCTTTTTCCACCCTGGCAGAGGCAGCCATCCTCCTCCTGGATTCCTCCCTCCGAACAAGTCTCTTGAATGAGGTTTAGGTGGGACTTTCTTTCTCTGGAGTGGTGCCGAGAAGTAACAACTTTGGCACAGGAGCAAGCGGAACTGTAACACTTTCCCTGGGGAAATCTTCCCCTAGTCGAGCAGAGTTGTTACACTCTGGGGGACCTGAGAAGAACTGTATTGGCTTGATGGGGAGAACAACTGTAATCACTTCCATGGGGAAATCCTCCTCCGGCCAAAGCAGAGTTGTTATATTGGGGAAACCGTTCCCTAGGGCGGGACTGTAAGGGGCTATGCTTATAGTGACTTTATGGTATTCCTTGGCTCCAAACTGCCAGGATCCCTTTCTGGCAGAGCTGCCTAGAAACCTGGAATGGGAATGATTGTTGCCTGGAAACCTGGGACTGGAACAATTGTTGCCTGGAAACAGCTGCATCTAAGAAAATAAATGTTCTCACTCCAGGACTGTCTGGCCAGAGGGACCTGAATCAGCCAAAGTTTGGCTGAGCATGAAAAAAATGACATATTGATAAATGGAAACAGATTAAGACTCCTTTTTTTAACAAAGCCTTTTAATAGCTAAATAAGTCAGATCATTTAGTATAAAGTCCTCAAATCATTGTAATGCAATAATCCCTGCTATAATAAAACAAAATAGCTACTACCATAGGAACATTCAGTATGTATGATACTAAAGAATGTGTGTCTCTGTGTGGTGATGTGCACATGTGTGTAGGTGCATACACCCATGTGGAGGTCATAAAAGGGTATCAGGTGTCCTCTACCACACTCCACTTATTCCTTTATGTCAGGGTCTCTCCCTGAACCTGGATCTTTTTTTTTTTTTTTTTCAGCTAAGATAGAAGCCAATAATCCCCCATGTTCCCCCTGTCTCCATCTGCCTCAGTGCTGGGGTTACAAGGTTGTTTGTGCAAAACACCCAGCTTGTTATGTGGCACTTGCATCTGAACCTGGGTTCTCTGCAAGAGCAGTACATGCTCTCAACCACTTAGCCACCCCTCTGGCCCTCTTCATTTTACATCAAGACTCCACACATATTTGAGGGAAAATATAAAATGTTTATCTGATGACCTCCACTTTTATCTATTTTCCTGACAAAGATGTAATTTTTGTTCATCTTTATGGCTGAATAAAACTCCATAGTCTATACAAGCCACATTTTCTATTCCTATACATATTGTCAGGCACATAGGCTGTATTAGAAATTGGCTGTTGTGAAAAGTGCCATGATAAACACAATTAGCAGGTGTCTCCACTTAGATTCTCCCAGGTGTATACATGAGTGATAAACCTGGTAGTTTTAGTGGGGTTTTTTTGTTTGTTTGATTTTATTTTATTTATTTTTTGAGGAGACTCCACGCTGGTTTTCATTCCCTCTAACTGTGTTGATGGGCTCCTTTTTTCAGGGACCACACCTTTAATTCCAAGATTCTAACCCTGACATTTCAAACTCTTCATAGATTTTCATATTAAAGACACATAACTCAGCTGGAGAGCTGACTCAGTGGTAAACAGTGCTTGTTATGTTCTAAGAAGACCGGAATTCAGATCCTCACAACCATCTGACACCCCCTAGTGACCACTGTGTGCACTGTACTCACATGCACTTACCCACACGAAGACACACACATAGACACACAGACACACAGACACACAGACACACAGACACAGACACACACACACACACACACACACACACACACACACACACACACATCTATGGGTGGTGGTGGTGGTGGTACCTTTAATCCCAGCACTTAGGAGGAAGACGTAGGCAGATCTTTGTGAGTTTGAGGCCAGCCTGGTCTACAGAGAGAGTTTCAGGACAGTCAGGGCTACACAGGGAAATCTTGTTTCAAGAAAACAAAACAAGATCTTTTAAGAAGAATAAGAGGAGGGGGGGGAGGAGGAGAAAGTGAACATACGAGGAAGACTATTTGGGAAGAAGAGAACCAGCTGAGGTGAAAGGAAGATCAGAGAAGGAAATGGCAGAGAGGGCAAATATGATCAAAGAATGTTATATACATGCATGCAAATGTCATAATGAAACCCATTCTTTTGTATAATGAATCAATACTGATTACAATTGCTTAATTTGGTTGTCAACTTGACATACCTGGGAAGAGAGAACCTTGACTGAAGAATTGCCTCCCTTAGATTGGCCATTGGATGTTTCTTAATTGATGATTGATGTGGGAGGACACTGCCCACTGTAGGCAGTGCCAACCCTGGACAGTTGGTCTTGAGGTGTATTTAAAAAGTCAACAGGAGCAAGACACTAAGCAGTGTTCTCCTTGGGTCCTGCCGCTGTTCCTGCTTGAGTTCCTGCTGTGACTTCTCTCAATGATTGACTGTCCTTGGAACATATAAGCCAAAGAAACCCTTTGCTCCCCAAATTGCATTTGATCATGGTAATAGTATCAAAGTATGACAATATTACATACATATTGCAACAATAATAGCTATCAAAGTATGACAATATTAATAATAATGCACAAACCAAACCAAAGCATAATTCTTGGACTAACAATACCATGTTACCTCAAGGATTTGCCTCAAATGTACAATTTAGAGCCTAGCCTTGCTTTGGAATCAGAATCTGCAGCTAAGCGACACCCCCAGGTGAATCCTCTGCCCGTGGTCTCTTTCCTAACTCCACTTCTGTGAAGCTTCAGGCTGGCATTCATCCTTCAGGTTCATTTTTCCCTGGGAGAGAGTGGACAGTTCATTCATACATCCATTTGCCCGATTCATTTTGGTGAAACATCCATTTGTTTGTAGGGCAGGGAAGCAAACAAACCAAGTTTTTAATTCTCCACTACTCATAACAGTTTACGCTTTTTTAATCCGATTTTTCAACTGGTAGAACTGCTTTCCACTGACGTTATCTCCACTTTCCCACGATCACAGCTATGGCATCCTGCAACTTTGCACAGAAAGAGAGATGCCAGAGAGAGTGGGGGAAACATTATCTCACAAGCAGGAGCCTAGTTACTTAAAACTGGAGTAGAAGAACATCCACATGATCACACACCCACTGCTGGCGGCACTGACAGCCTGCTGCACATCTGCTCCATGACGATCCTGCGGCTCTCCGACTCGACTCTCAAAACCGCGCCGCAAATCCCTGGGAAATTTCACACCGTTTTAGAAACAGTGAGCCCTGATGGCAGCTTGTCAAGCATTGACTGTGCGTCTTCCCAGTTATGCCTCTGACAGGAACCCTTGAGGCATGCGGGGGAAAATGGCAGAGGTCCAGTTATGATGATTAAGTCAAAACTCACTGCCATTCGCCAGCAGCCATGGAGCCAGAGTCTTTTCATCTTTTAAGTTCCACTAATAGGCCCTTGGGCAGGAAGAGAGAAAGCGGGAAGAAGAAAAGGGCAGAAGGGGACTGAGGCATGAAGGCAGAAAGAGCATTACCATCACCACCAACCCCATTCTTTGTCGGTGAAGCTAGTTATTTCTGGATGCCTGTCTCTACTGAGAGGTTCATTTAGCAACCAGTAAAAGGAAAGCTAAAGCTCTCATTGTGTGTGTGTGTGTGTGTGTGTGTGTGTGTGTGTGTGTGTGTGTGTGT